CCACCGGCCAGTATTCTCTTCCTCTGTTCTGGACCTTCATTTCTTGTTCTATCGAGTTGTTGTTCATTCATCTCATATCTGTCTCCCGGTCTAGGCGTAATGTGTTCTTTGATCTTCCACCTCTCCTTTGACCTTGAGGATTACGTGTCAAGGTTTGTTTTGTGACATAGTTGGATGCTTTTCTCAATGTGTGTCCTATCCACTTCCAGCACTTCTTCCCGATTTCTTCCTACACTGGGATCTGGTTTGTTCTCTCCCATAGTAGGTTGTTGCTGATATTGTCTGGTCAACGGATATGAAGTATTTTGCGTAGACAACTGTCAATAAACACTTGTATTTTTTGGATGACGGCTTTCGTAGTTCTCCAACTTTCCGCCATATACAGTAGGATTGTGTTGATATTTGTATAGAAAATTCTGAGTTTCTTGTTGGTTGACAGTTATTTTGAGTTCCAGATTTTCTTCAATTGTAGATATGCTTCTCTCTTGTTAAAGTAAAATGAAATCTTATCAAATGTTTGTTCACTGATATAATCTAAGCATATTCTAAAACAAATTGAGATTGTGAGGGAGAACGTATGTTAACAGTGTTCTGAGAGAACAAAACTTCATCAAAATCATCCATCTGAACAACAAATCTTCTTCATTATCATTATCATTATCAGCTTTATTCAATATTATATTTTTGGTACAATATAGAATTCTCAGCACAAAGTATTTCAACAAGTTTCCGTTTCTTACTTCTTGGTCGATCGTGACGATAAATATTGAGTGATCGCCAGTTAGATGTTAGCAGTCCAGTGAATGAACATCTTAATAATGTACATTCTTTTCGTTGTATATTTTCAGCAACCACATTGTCTCTTATTGAGTTTTTTGTAACTTTGACAACGAAAGGTTGTACACTTTTCAGAAATGCACCAGGATAGCTTATGCGATGAATAGACATAATGACATATATTAAAACAAACAAAAATAGATAACTTGTTGAAATATCTAGATGGCAGGAACAGGTAGCCCAGATGCTCAAGCAGGCCGCCTTTTGTTGTATGTATGAACAACAAATCTTCTTCATCTTCATCTCAGAGAGAATCTTGAAAATTAATAATGATCTAATTGCATTTGAACCATTCTGTTATTATTATTAACCTAAACATACTTTTAACTTCTGTCGATTAGTGATATTTCATAACCAATTTCTATTGCATATTACTATATAGACATGTATATATATGGTAAAATAGTAGGATTTATCAAGGCTTCTTCATTTTTACTAGCTGTTTCAATAAAGTCAGTTTGTTTTTCTTCCATACTTTTAGTCACAGCAGGTAGGATAAATTAAGTTTATGCTTAAATAAATGAAAGTCTTGATGAAAATACGATCTTTGTCTTTTTGGGGGGGAGAGGGGAAGGGAAGGGAAGGGAAGGGAAACCTATGACTACTACACCTATACAACAAGCCATTATAAAAATTAGGATCAATTTTTGATATTTCTTTTTATATTGGATTATTGATATTTGATTTTTTGTCTACTGATGGTTAGCTAACTTTGATTTTTATTCCTGTTCATTAACAACGAGAAATGTCTATGAATGAGTTATTACTAGTCGATATTATTTAGTCAGTCAGTCAGCTACAACGTAGGACCAGGAACATATATATACATCCGTCCAAGTTGCAATACCGCATTAGCACAATAAGATGAACACCAAATTCATAGAAGTAGTTAATTCAGTGGTGGTAATGCATAAAAAAGATTGCATATAAGAATATAATACAGGAAGAAAGAATTAGTGCGTAGAAAGAAAGGTATAAAGAAAGACAAAGGGTGTATACACCGATGCCATTGTGATCGATTCTGAGCCATGTCACACAGATTCTCCAACCATTGGTTACGATAGACACGTGGACCCCAACCAAGTAGTCTGCATCTACCAACATGGCTCAGACTAGAAGTTAATGACTTCAAGTACTGATGCCACGTTTTGGTTTGGCCGCCCTTAACTTTCTTCCAACCATCTTCAACACTGGTTAGCATTGCACGTCGTGGTAAGTCTACTTAGTATCATATATTTGCATTCTTCCTATTTTCTTTGTTTTTGTTAGACTGATTGCAACATTTTTAAACGATTATATGTAAGTTAAGTTATTCGTCAAGTTGTTTTATCATATCTATGATTTGATGGACAAACAGAAGTGAAATAATCTTTGTATTCAACTGATATTTTAATACAGACTTTATATTACTTATAGTGGTTTAAAAAGAGATTTTAATTATGAGTATAAAGTTGTGAAGATTATTAAGTTTTTGATTGAGATCATCAACCGATTGATGTTAGATCACCGTTGGAAACACTGAACAGTTGTTTTGTCTTAGTGTTGAACTTTCCGCGGGATTTGAATTCAGGGCCTTCGGTCTCGCGCGTGAACCCTCAACCTCTAGATCCAACTATGTTAATGTCTAACTTCAACTAATCCACGAAGTTGTACTGAGGTAGATATCTGTCCCTACTCGACACGAGTTAGCTCCACTGGTCACGGCTTCTCATTAGAACTCCCAGAATTCTCTCACGAAGCTAGCCACTATTATTTACTTCAATATAATGGAAGATGTTCAAGAAATTTTGCGTATTGGTTGAGGTTAGACATTAACACTGTTGGGTGATGGCCAGCTCAGTGGTCCAGTAGGTTATTCGTTCGAGCGAAAGACTGAAAGCCCTGGGTCCGAATCCCATGTACGGGATCGTAGATGTGCACTGCTAGTGAGTCTCACAACAAGACGAAACGGCTATCCAGTCCTTCCAGGTTTTCAATGGTGATCTAACATCAATCGGTTCATGATCTCAATCAGAAATTTTAATTAACCAGTAGACTGAAAAGCATAAATTATACTTTAAGACACACAAAATATATATGCTTTAGTATAGAAATTACGGAAGTAATAACAATGTAAGAAATATTATCCATGAAAACGTAAAAGCCGAAGTTTTATGTGTTCAAAAGAAGCTTGTTCTATCTTCTATATCCCTAGCCAGATTCAAGTTCATTAACCCAATAATCATCTCACACAGGCATATTGTACTTACAGAACATGATTCGAGAAAAGAATATGAATTTGAAGTTTAATATAACTTCAAACATCAAGATTTGATAGAAACTAAAGAATCAATTCATCTATGTCACTGTCAATCACATGGTACATAACCTCCAATCCTTGTTTACAAACAAACTCTTATTTGGTTCAATAGAATCACTACTATTTCTGTTATTATTTATTTGCATTGAGATTTCGTTTAACAATTTCATTCTACGTAAAATTTAATTCAAGCATACATTTTATGCAAGTTATCTCAACATTTATATTGGCATTATTGTGACTTATTCTTAATCTTGGATCAAGTTATTCTTTTTCATCATCAAGTTGATCTAACAACTGAAGAACTGAATGGTAATTAATTGAAAAACTTATCCTTTATTAATTTATTTATTCTAAAATATGAAGAGATCATGTGTAATCACGAATGTTGAGTCCCATTTAGATACATAACAGTCGTCTATCGATTTCTGGTTCTCAATGATACTCTGACGGGTAACAGTCTGTGGTAAGAATAACTTACACATATCAAGCTGTCGTTGTGCATGGCTATTTCAAAATTAGAGGCATCGAATTCACCAGATCATCCGTAAGATGTTCAAATTTATTCGATATGTTAGATAAATGAAAGTAGAGTGTATATCAACAGTCAAATTATGAGAGATATTGTATCGATTTCTATCAGACAGAATTATTTTGTATGCTAAGGTACCTAAAACTTGGTGTAAACTGATTGAATTATGAGTATTCACTAGAATATCTATATTCTAATCATTTTTGATGTTTTATATCTGTCAACTTGGAAAGAAAGTAGTTCTTTGTCATCCTTCATTATATCTTCTCTTACAATGAAGATTAATGTTCAGAAAGTCATGTCTATTCATTCTCTAGACTTTACTAAGGATTTATCCAAATAAATTTATTTTGCCCATGGACATCTTGATTTAAGAAAGTAATAAATAGAATTTATGGTTAATACTTAAACTTTCCTTTAATATAAAGCTTTATGGATATGATTTCATAAGAGATTTTCACCTGACTATTGTATAAATATATGGAATTTTCTTGGTAGACCACAACAGTTTTAATGGAGTTTTGTTCTCTGAGCTGGATGGTTTGATAGTGGAGCTTTCATTGTTCTTCTGAACGACATCATCAGTATCATCAAGGAACAAAAGCTCATCAAAATCATTGACCTGAACTACAGATCTCCACCATTTTAAAGACTATAGTGGTTACACGACGGTGGATACATTTGTCCTGGTGTAGTGAAAAGAGCACGAGTGGGGACAATTGATTGTATTTAACAAAAAATTACAGGACTTCTTAATAAAATCTAACAACGAAATACTTAATTTGCAAAATGTCCACCAATTGTCTCAAAATAACTCAGACTTTATTGTTCTTGCATTTTCATACAAATTGCATTCTGTTTCCATTCTTTACTGTTCGATCCTCTTGTCTCTCTTCTGCCAGACCTTCTGTTCATGACTAACATCATATACTACTTATGTCAATATAAGTAGAACAAACCTCACTAGTTCATGTTTACCATTGCAGAAACTGTATCTAAATACGATTTATTCTAAATAAGTGATTTACATTATTGTTAAACTTCAGAAATATATTTTTCTACTCATTAGAATAAAACAAATTTTTTTAAAATTTATTATTACTATTGGGTATATACACAATCACTTAATAAACAGTTTAGTTTCACCATATTACATAAGTTTATACAACGTCTATTTATTTCATTGGTTAATTATTTTAACCAATCAAAACAATATAAAGAGTATATTCAACCAATCAAAATATTTGAATAATACCTTGCATTTTGATTGGTCAATAAATACATGTACACATATATAAATGCTTTTGTTTTTAGAAGCTGACCGATTTGCATTCTTGAATAATTTTTAAACATTAAAATGTTTTAATTTATTCTTAAAATAAATTTAAATATATCAAGATAATATACATGAATATTTCAAATTCAACGATTCCATATTATGAAACTGTTGAAACGAATATTGATCCAATATGGTTATGTACATTAATTCTACTTGGTTCTGTTTCATTATTAGGCACCATTGGAAATTTACTTGTATTAGGTGTTTATATACAACAACATTTTTGGCCACATTTACATTTAAAATATAGACAAATTTATTATAATCAAAAATTAAGTATGTTAAATACAAATGAATTATATACAACAACAACAACAACAACAACATCATCATCGTATCTTCATGATATTAGTAATGATAATTTGAATCATATCATACAAATTCATGAATCAAATGAACAATTATTTACTAAAACCACTGGTACACCAACATTTTTTATACTTGTATTAGCATGTGTTGATTTATTGGTATGTTGTTTTGTTGTACCATTAACATTCTATATGGAATATATACATTTACAACCATCAACAGATATATGGTGTAAAACACATGCATTTTTAAATATATGTAATATAATGTTTAGTTCATTATTAATTATAGCAATTGCATTAGAAAGATATCTTACTATATGTCATCCATTACGTCGTATATTAACAATGAAACGTGCTAAATATTTAACATTAGGTTTAGCTATATTTTGTATTCTATATGGTATACTTGGTGCATTACATCATAGTTTAGGGATAACAAATGATGAACCAAATATAAAACAATGTTGTGATACACCAGAAATACCAAATGCTACTTATATAGAAAAATTAACATATGATATATTACAAAAAGGTAATACAGCTAGTTTTATATTATCCATTCTATCCGTTATTATATTATATTCATTAATTTTACGCGTTGTCATTAAAACACATCGTGCTCAACGTTATACACCAGTGATTAATCATAATACTATACCATATAATACTATCATAATACATAATACAAAAATGTTAAATAGAAATCAGAGAAGTGCCATTTCATCAAATGATTTAAACAATACTACTACTACTACTACTACTAGTGACATTGAACATTTAACCAATGATCCTCATCAACATCAACATCATCGTAAAAGTTTAACAAATAGAATCAAAATGAATTTATCCATAAAAAATATAACAGAAAGTACATTATGGAGAGAGATACGTTCAGCTAGTGTATTATTTGTTGTAGCTGTTGTTTATATTATTGTATTTACACCAGCATTATTAACAGCTAATAAATTAGTACAATTTAATTTACTTGCATATAATACATACTACTTAAATAATATGTCAAATCCATTAATTTATTGTTTTATGAGTAATGCATTTAGAAAAAAATTAAAAATTTTATTATTTAATAGTATTATATCATATAAATGTTGTTATATTAAACATAATAATAATAATAATAATAAATTATTTCATCATTCATATCATCTTCAACATCCTCAACGACAACAACATCCTAGACAACAACGTCGTAAACAACATTTAAGAGCAAGAGAATTAATCAATAATATTAGTAATAATAATAATGATATGAATAATAATATAAACAATCCTATGAATAAATAAAGATATTTTACTTCATTCATTCAATGATGATGATCATCATCTTCAACACCAACATCTTCATCAACGGCATTCTCAACGACAACAACATCAACGTCGTAAACAACATTTAAGAGCAAGAGAATTAATCAATAATATTAGTAGTACTACTGTATTAATAATGATATGAATAATAAGCTAAATTATACCAGGAATACATAAAGATATATTTCACATGATCCATTCATGTAATGATGATGATGATGATGATGACTTTTTTCTTAATCTAAAGATGTATCTATTGACAAATTACATTTTGTACAATGAATTACTCAAATTTTACTTAGATACACTTTTTGTTTTAAACAGTGTAAATTCTGTCTCTGTCGATCCTCCCCTCTCTCTGTGTGTTTGTGTGTGTGCATGAATGTAAATAATGAATAAACTTCATGTCATCATATATATTGAATTGTACACTTGGATATACATCATACAGTTCATCATTGAGCAACTCTCTTTTTATTTTTACAGTTACCATTATTAAAAGTAAATGGAATCTGTTTAGCTTTTAATGTACATAAGGTTTAACATCATTCATACATCGTTTGAATCAGTAGAATGAATAAAACTAAGTGAACTCATGTAAGTATGTTCTTCTCAATACTATCAATGGGGGGGGAAGGCTTCGTCATTATGAATATAACAGAGTTGAATATTGTTAATGTAAGCTTAATATATTGAATTTTCTAAATGTATATATTCTTCTTTTAAGTTGTAGTTTTAAATTATACAATTCAATTTATGATCTATTCAACATGAAACGGAACTTGATTATAAACATTGATATTTCGTAAATATTGTTAACATTCATGATAGTTACATAGAATAGAAATGTTTCCATGATTACTCCTAGTGAAGTTTAAATTCACTTGATATTGTTTACTTGTATATTCTTATTGTTGTTTAGGACTGCAATTGATCAGTCTCTTATTTGTATATATGCATACTGTGCGGATTGCTTCGATATTGCTATCATTCACAAGCATTATAAGTAAAGATGGATAATCACAATTGATTGGTCACTGAGTGGTGATCAATGTCATGTGTGTTAAGTTCTTATTTAGTGCAGATCGAATGCTATCGACTATGTCGCAATGTGGTCATCGGTCGAGGTGACTCGAGACTACGTGCACTATATATTGAGATTAGATGGTGGTTGGAGGTAGTCGACAGGAAACTCGGATAGATCAGTGGTAACGTCTCTGACTGTGAAGCTGGGTGACACGAGATCGAATCCGCCTGGGAGCACCAGTTTCCTCAAGATTACAGGTACACCTTGCTGACGAGTGCCAAGCAGCACGAAATCCGGGTCCAGGGTTCCCTGTCAACCACCATCTAAAGATGGATAATGGCTAACACTGAAATTCAGTTTGACGTGCGTTTCGTACTATTTTACTGAAGTGCTTAAAAAATTGGTTTTGATTAGATTTAAGCACATTTCATAAGTTACCATGTTCTGATTACCTCGTTTACATAATGTTTCATATTCGCTGAATCCTAATTTGAATTTATTATGAATATTGTTTAAACTAAATCTATGAAAAATGCAGCGTACTTCTTTGAATCTAAGCACTTTTATTGTTCAAATGAAGAAAGTAGTAAACCAGTTTCTGTAAACCTACTGAGTGAGTTTTTGTACAACATCTTTCAATAAATCACAAACTCATTTGAGAGAAAGTAAAACTTGAGATTAATTATGAACACAATGATCTTCATTGCTGTTAGTGGTATGAGGGCGCTTATCACTTCCCGGTTGCCCACACCGTAGGAAGGTTCACCTATAGGTACCTGAAAAGGAAATTGCTCTTAGTGACCTGAGAGGGTGATCGCAGTGCCCAAGTGACAACTGCCTAAGGTCGGTCTTATACTACATTTCTGTGAATAGTTTTTATGTTAGCTCCATACGTGTTGAGACCTTACCACTGGAGGCGGAAATCCATGGGATGATGTGAGGTATGCATCTTAAAGTTGATCTTTTCTAACCCCACCCCGCCTTGTGGAAAGGCAACATCGTTGTCATGCTAGTTGTTTGTAGGTTACACCCTACTGCCGTCACACCTTTGTACAGTTAACAGTACAACTTCGCCCTTGGATCTTCGGTTTGTTACTTTTAATCTTACTGCTCTTCAACTAACCTGTCTGGCATGGTAGGACCTTGAGCAACGATTATTCTACTCGGTATAGCTCAATTAGTTCATTACGATAGGCAAGTCCAACACCACATTAAGGTAGCAGCAATGGTCGGGAAAAAACATGGCATAATCTAACAAAGAAAACGTTGGTGTTATTAAACCCTTTTTCAGAAATATACTGAAACACTTTCATTCCTTTTATTTGTTCATTTATTCGTAGAAAATAATGTAAACCTATTGAAAGTGATATAAGATTATATGGCTACATTTAAAGTTGTATTAATCAACATTTCAAAAAAAAAAATAGATAACTGGTTCAAAGATTCCTTTATACAATCACAGGATGAATGTCCATTATGCATCTCATATTAATCATTAATTAACATTTATGTTAATTAATTACGAAATTTCTATCATATCATAATATTGGGGTTCAAGTTTTGAAACGGGATTTCATGGTTGAGTTAAAATGAACCTTCTAGAAAATTTATCGTTTCAAAACATTGAATCTTAAAACTGTTTAGATTTTCATATTGATTGATCTGATATTGTAGAAAAAACAATCAAATTAGATTAAACATTTTGTAAGAATAAAAGTATTACACCTTGTGGCTTTGTACACTATGAATGTATAACGTCATGATACCGCCAATCATAGAAAAAATGGTTTATCAACCGGACTAATGACGCATAAAACACGTACGAGCAGTCTAAAGTCCTTATCGGTTCTTCTCCCTGCCTAACCCTGCCTGTTAGAGTCCAGAACATCAATCTCAGCCTCTGCAATATGAATCATTTATGTCAAGCATACGGGGTTTATATACCAACCAAACAGACCACGTTGTACCAATAAAATATGAATTAGCCAAATGTGGCTGTGAATGTGGGAGGTAGTAATTAACAGATAGGGCATAACTCAAGAATGGTAAATCGTATAATAATAGTTTATGGGTTGAAATAAAGCTCATAATAAGAGGAACACGAATATGTATAGTTTAGTTACTTAACAATGATACAATAAAGATATACGTATAGTATTAGTCCAGAAATAAATTCCAACAGTTACCATTCGGGATATAACAAAAAGGTTGAATTCTTTTAACATGTAGGTATTTTACATTAATAATAAAAATCGACAATGATAAGAAAAAATATAGTAAGTTACTACTTGCATATGGATGAAGAATGCTGATGAGTAGCCTATGCCCCTTCACGGGGAGTAACAGGCGTAAGTAAGTGAGTAAGTACTACTTGCAGATCTAAATAGAATACAAGAAATATACTAAGTTAGACTATCTTGTATAGGCATTCATATAAGCGTATACTACTATGTAGCTGCATATCATACTTGTGATTACAGTTATTCTTAGCTTAAACTAAGAATAATATAAATAAATGAATCCAAAGGTCCTTTATAATTGAATAGCCAACTGTTTAACTCTATTTTCTGTTATGTTGCTAGAAAATTAGTTTATTTGTCGAGATTGTATAGAATAAATAGAATGAAATACTTTAATAGTTGAATTCATGAGTCATTAAAAGCGAGACCACCATGGAAAACCTGAAAGTACTGGACGGCCGTTTCGTCCCAGTATGGGGCTCCTCAGCAGTGCGTATTCACGATTTCGCTCATGGGATTCGAACCCAGTACTTATCGGTCTCGCACACGAACACTTAACATGTAGATCACTAAATTAATATTTAGCGGTGTGAATTTCCAGCTTCAACCAATTCCATGGTTGTCTAGCTTTAATTGACTCATGAATTCAGCTATTATATTACTAAAATATCCACAGAACCCCTTTTTGATAAAATTAAATAGTTTAATTATGAAATGATGCAATGTGCTCCTTTGATCATTCTATTGAGGTAACTTAACAATCTTCAAAACCCCTAAACTGTGAACATGAATAGTTGTGTTATCACAGTCTATAAATAGTTTCTGTATAGGTTATCATGCTGACTCAACCTTTGACCATAAAACATTCCGTTTTATCTCTTATTGGCTAATGGATTAACATGTTAATTAGAGTACTCTCAGAAATGAACTTCAAATGTTTCATACGTAATGGCATCCATACTGTGTATCTCTAATTCATAACATTATTTGTTTCAATGCAATGGTATAAGACATGACTTTAACTATATATTAGTGCAAAAACTATTCTCTTTAAAGATAGTTGTACAATCATTATGAACCGTGGAGTAGTAGTCGCGTTTTTTACAGACTGCTGTCTTTAGGCATATAAAGTTAAGTTAGATCAGGTGAAGTGTTTGTGGTTATTTTCGAACAATTCATGTTTTTCTCTCTCTTTCAGCATAAAACTCAAATACTGATTACCGAAGTCTTTAATGATGAAAATTGTAAAGAAAACCTCGACTGCTCAAACAAGAAAAATAAGTAGTCGATTTTAATGTTCGTTTCACAATAAGTCAATTCAATTAGGAGAACATAAATTGAAGAAATCCACCCCTGTTGTTGGATGTTTGCTAACTCATTAAATACGAAGAATGTACCTAGTTGAATGTTGTTCATTATAAAATGAATTTAGTAGTATAGGGGTTGGGGAGATTATTAAGTTTTTTTATTGAGATCATGAACCGATTGATGTTAGACCATACTAGTAATCAACATATGCTCAATGGTGACTATCTTCGTGAGAGAATTGTCGGAGTTCTAGTGAGAAGCAGTGGCCAGTGGAGCTAATCCATGTCGGGTAGAGACAGATATCTACTTCAGTACAATGAAAGATGATCGCGCAATTTCGTGGATTGGTTGATGTTAGACACTATCACCATTGGATGCCGACTCAGTGGTCCAGTAGCTTAGGCGTTCGCGTGCGAGAAGGAAGGCCATGTGTTCGAATCGCGCGAGCGGGATCGTTAATGCGCATTGCTGAGGAGTCCCACAATAGGGCGAAGCGGCCATCTAGTGTTTCCAGATTTCCAAACGTGGTCTAAGATCAATCGGTTCATGATCTCAATCAAAAATGAATTTAATTTTTATTACAAATAAAAATTATTAAAAAAAATTTTTTTGATTAAGATCACGAATCAAATGATTTTAGACCATCACTGAAAACTTAGAAAAACTGGAAGGGCTATTTCATCCTACTATGGGACTCGTCAGAAGTGCATATCTACGATCTTAATTAAAAACTTAATAATCACCATAACCTCATACTGAAAATCAGTTGATTGTATAAAACCACTTATCAAATTAATTGAATTACTAAGGGATGAAGTATTATTATTATTATCAATACGGCGGCCTGCTTGAGCATCTGGGCTACCTGTTCCTGCCATCTAGATACTTCAACAAGTTATCTATTGTTGTTTGTTTTAATATATCATTATGTTTATTAATCGCATAACGTATTCTGCTGCGTTTCTGAAAAGTGTACAACCTTTCGTTGTCAAAGTGACAGAAAACTCAATAAGAGACAATATGGTTGCTGGCAATGTACAACGAAAAGAATGTACATTATTCAGATGTTCATTCACTGAAGTGCTAACATCTAACTGGCGATTCCTCAATATTTATCGCCAGGACCGACCAAGAAGAAAGGAACGGAAACTTGTTGAAATACTTTGCGCTGAGAATTCTATATTGTACCAAAAATATAATATTGAATAAAGCTAATAATAATAATAATAATAATAATAATTTATTCAATATTATATTGTTGATACAATACAGAATTCTCTGTACAAGGCAATTCAACAAGTTTCCTTTTTTTCGTATTTCTTAATCGATCCAGTCGTTAAGTATTGATTGATTGCCAATTAC